GGTCGTTCAGCTTGCTCGACGTGAGTAATAAGCTTTGCTTTGATGGCTCTATGTTTTATCGATCCACTTCAAGCAACGAACCCCCCCCCCCCCTCCACCGTGCGATCCATTTTGGATCTCACGCCGGAGAGTTTTGGGATGTCCTTGCTCTACGTCCTCCACCGCCCAATGGGGGACCTTAGTATTTTTTTCTATCTATGCCGTACCAACAGGCATTAACCTTAGGTAAGCTTGTGCTTACTTTGAACTGTACCCTCCTCATCCTCTGGGGGAGGTAGAGGGGGGGGGGCGCATGGCCTCTGTTTTTCAGGGGGGGTTCGGGTACGGGTTGGGGGTCGGGTCTTTGTGTGCTGTATTCTCGAATTGTCCCCTCACTATAGCTACTGTGGATTTTCAGTATACAGCTATCCTCACTCAACGCGTCTATGTGTCCGGCAATCTCCAATAAACAACAACCTGTGCGGTTTCATATGCAGCTTTCGTCNACCCTCCTCATCCTCTGGGGGAGGTAGAGGGGGGGGGGCGCATGGCCTCTGTTTTTCAGGGGGGGTTCGGGTACGGGTTGGGGGTCGGGTCTTTGTGTGCTGTATTCTCGAATTGTCCCCTCACTATAGCTACTGTGGATTTTCAGTATACAGCTATCCTCACTCAACGCGTCTATGTGTCCGGCAATCTCCAATAAACAACAACCTGTGCGGTTTCATATGCAGCTTTCGTCACTCAACGCGTCTATGTGTCCCGCAATCTCCAATACAAATCAACCTGTGAGGTTTCAGTATGCAGCTGTCTTCACTCAATGCGCCTATGTGTCCGGCAGTCGCAAACGCCACTCAACCCGTTCGGTCTCAAAATGCAGCTATCCTCACTCAAAGTGTCTGCGTGTCCGGCACTATCCAACATCACTCGACTCGTGAGGTTTCGACTCGTGAGGTTTCAGTATGTAGCTATTCCCACGCAGCGCGTCTATGTGTCTGGCAAACTCAAAAAACAGTCCATCTGTGAGGTGTCAGTATGCAGCTATCCTCACTCAACACGTCTATGTGTCCGGCAATCTCCAATACAACTATACAACCAAGAACGAAGGATTCTTTATTCCCGACGGAAGGAGGATAATTGGGCATGCATCGGGTGCAATGGAGTCAACTCGACACCCTCCAACGAGACGCTAACACGCAACCATCTCCATCCATCCGCCTCGTTGTTCGGCAGGAATTCCACAAGGCGCCCATCTGGGTCTTGTATCGGCGTCGACGAGACACTTTTCGGTGAACCCACCTTCCATCATAGTATGAAAATTGTACAATAATACGCTTGGGGACACAAAAGCACCGTTCGCTGCACGTAGGGTCTCCCACACTCTCTGCAGTTTTCCCATACGACCCATGGGCCGCGTATGGGCACCCCGTTAGGCCCATGGACAGTCAATGGGTCACCCATGGGCTACCCATGGGCATGCCCATGCCCATGACCATGGCATACGTATGGGCAGCCCATATGGGCTACCCATGAGCGTGCCCATGGATACCCCGTGGGCGGCCCATGGGCGGTCAATGAGAGCCCTTCACCCTACCAGTGTAGTCCTAAGCAATAGATTATCTGCTTTGCAACAGGAACTATAGCGGCAAATAACCCTAACGCTAACCGTAACCCTAACCCCAAGCCCACACGATACGTGCTAGGTTGGCGCTGATGGCCATGTTCTAGGTTGGTGTGAAGGTGGCTAACTTCTAGGTTGGTATCCTGGTGGCGAAGCTCTAGGTTGAAGTGCGCACGGCAGGCATTTCATGGGCCGCCCATGGGCCGCTCATGGGGGATGCCCATGGGTGGGCCATGAACTACCCGTGGGCGGCCCATGGGTGACCCATGGGTGTCCCATGGGTGGTTTAAGAAAACGGTCAGTAGTGTGAGAGGTTGTGCACGTACCCCAAGAGTTTGTGCGTGCGCCCTTTCTTCACGAGGGCCGGGGTCCCATCCCAAGTATTCTCGTTTCCGTTCTCATTTTTCTTCAAGAATGTTGGAAAGTACCCCCACGTTTTCACAGTTTTTTTGTTTTCCTAGGACGTCTTGGTCGTGGGGATCACGGGAACGTATATTTGTTGTACGTTAAGGACTGTAACCAAAAGTTTTGGTCAACCATTACAGGATCCTGGCCAAACCGTATTTCCTATATTTTTGCCCACGATGGACAGCCTACTGGAATGCTCAACACGTTCACCATGGTGGGCTTTGCCCCACGATGGGCTGCACATATTGGGGTGCCCATGGGCATTGTAGGCTTGCCCGTTGGGTATGACGATGGGCGGCCCGTCGTGGCCAAAAAAGAAGCCCATGGAGTGCTCACCATGAGCTGCCCATGGGCTGTCCATGAGCTGCTCATGGGCGGGCGGATGATCAAAACCCCGAAAGTGTGGGAGACTCATAGCAGGGGGGCGGGCGCGCGTCAAGATGAACAAAGAAAAGAAACGTGATCCATCTCGTGGACAGTGGACTTCCGAACACCTACCCGTCCGTGGACATGTCCGTGGACATGTCCGTGGACATGTCCGTGGACAACGTCCATGCACATGTCCGTGGGCGCGTCCATGGGCATCCATGGACCTCCGCGGACAAGTCAAGGAACATGTCCAAGGAAATGCCCACGGACAACGTCCATGGACATCCACGGACGTCCTTGGACGTCCGTGGACGTGTTCGTGGACTTCCGTGGACATCCTTGGACGTCCACGGACGTGCCACGGACGTGTCCATGGACATCCATGGACGTGTCCACGGACGTCCACGGACGTGTCCATGGAATGGTCAAATAATGTACGTAACCCAATCAAATGTTTGCGAAAAATAAGAAGAAATGGCTAAGAAACA